AAGACGCTTCTATATACAATTTCGAATTACTACGCTAATCCTATGCTAATTCTAAGGTTAGTAATTTACATTGATGGCTTCTTTTAACACGACTAATTGTTCGATTGTCTTTCAATTGTCTAGACGATTGTTATTCCCTTTTTTACACTTACTATCGTTGCGTACATTTCGTCGATGCTCTTCTCAATTGTCCAGATGATTTTCGGGATTATCCTCTCGATAATCGTTACCGTTACCGTTACGTGTACTAGACACTCCCGATTGTTCAAATAATTATTGTGATTGTTACCCTCTCGATGATCGTCATATACGTTATATTAAAAGAACGATCATAATTCGATATCGATATAAATAAATAACGATAAAAAAGAAAAAGGTAATATCTATTCCTAACTACATGTACATTTGGTTACAATAGAACTTACGCAAGAAACTAATTTCGGAGGGATTTTCATGTAGAAATTGAGAATCAAAATTACGGAATCGAAGAATCTAATGCTACTTTGGTAACACTACGCGACAATGTCAAACATACATGAAAAAATGACATTATCGTTATCTTTTTCAAACGAATGGATAGAAACCTCGAAATGTCTACGTCAATTTATATAATCACACGCCGAAAATTAAATCATTTATTGGAGTCTGTGCCCTAAAGATTAACAATGTGCAAACGGGATACCATTTCAGACGATCGAAATCTTATCATCAAAATTCTCATTTGGAGTAATAGATACTCACAAATCTCTCTAATACTTCTATGAACCCAATTAATATGGATCAGGGTTCCACCGTCGTAGTTATATCCCATTCTAAGCAAATGCCGATGTTCTTCCCTTACAACACCTGTTACTTTTTTCAGATATCCAATCGTTTCTCGGCACTGATGTGCCGGCTCATGCCATAACATTGTTCATAATCTGTTATGGGAAGTCTGATTTCTTCAAGTTTGAATCCTATATATTCGGAAAGCTTTTCATGAAACTCTTCATTTGTGCCGAAACAATATAATCGTGTAATGCGTGAGAAAATCGCGTGTTAAGTATCGGCTAATCTATTCTCTTAATTAGGCAAATCGAACAGAGCATGCAGGATCATACATTTATCCGTATATGAAAAATGCCGCGGACTGTACTGTCCGTACCCCATGACAGCACTGCAATGCTTACTACACTCAGATTACTTGTTTTCTCATTGTTATATAACCATAATTGGAAGCATTGAAGTGCTTCTTTCATTAATACACTGATTTGGTAAGATATATGGTGCTTATTGTTATATTGTTGCTTCGATTATATAATTAGTTAAAGAGGGGTTTTTTCGCAACAGGGGTGAGAGCTAGACTGAATTATTTACGAGTAAAGGGTTGCTTTGGACGTTCTAAAAGCTTCCCGTGGCGACTTGTACGCAAATCGAGAGGGCGTTTGTAAATAAGAGTATTATAGTAAAAAGAACAATCCAAAAACAAACTAATAATTATAACACGATATGACTTATTGATACGGCCTATTTAGAAAACAATTCAACAGGACTTATTGATGCGGCCTATTTAGAAAACAATTCAACAGGACTTATTGATGCGGCCTATTTAGAAAACAATTCAACAGGACTTATTGATGCGGCCTGAACAAAGAAAAACTCAAATCTAAATGACAATAATATCAAAAACACAATCGACGGCTTATTTAGAGTGGAGGAGCATCCACTACTTGCAATTACTCGCAAGGTTTGAAATTTGACCAAGAAAATAAATAATAGTGTATTCACAAGTAGTATTACTATTACAAGTAAGAACTTTGTTATTTTATTAGATCAAAAGCATGTTTCTACGAAGGCTCGAAAGCACCTCTATATATACAGGATTGAATTATTATGCTAATTCTAAGGTTAGTATTTTACATCTGTTTCTTTGGGGCTTATTATCAATAATCAAGTATCCATCGTTCGATTTCTAATCCATTTTTCTTAAAGGACTATACAGATAATCGTTTGTCCTTTGGATAATCACGCGTCGAGACGTTCAATAATATTAAAGAATTGGAAGGGAGATTCATGACTAAGGATAAAGGTATTGTCTCGTAACAAAATGCTTCTATTTTCGTATTGAGATTTGGGTTAATTAGGAAACTAATCTAAAAAAGGATTTTATTTAGGATAAATATAGAAATAAATTGAAAGGATATTTACGGAATTAGGAAATCCTATTGTGGACTATTTAAGGTTGAATTTGCATGGACAATTAAGTGCATAAATTATGGAATTAAGGGATTTAACGTTACTTTGGTAACAATGCGTATAACCATAATTGGAAGCTCCTTTCATTAATACACTGATTCGGTAAGATATATGGTGCTTATTGTTATACATGTATAAGCATAATTGGAAGCATTGAAGCGCTTCTTTCATTAATACACTGATTCGGTAAGATATATAGTGGTACTCATTTTCCAAGTTATATAAAGAATAGTAGGTAAAGCTTCGGTATTTCTTTGTTCTTAGCAAGACGCAAAAAGAACAATGACCATGGTTATCAGATGTCGTGGCGAAACTGGAGTGAAAAAGAAGATTAAAGATTTGCAAGTAAAAGCAAATGCAAAGTTCGAAAAAAAAGTAAGACACGTAAACGCAAAACTTTCATAATAAAACTCTAGCCTCTCGAATATAATTTTCTATTGCTAGGTTGAAGAAATTAAAAAAGAACTAATGGATAAAAATTCAGACGAGCTGGATGATTTTGTCAATGGAGAATTTGATGAATTCAACCAAACATTCATTGATCATTCAAACGGTATTCGAGAACACGTTCGTAACCTGGCACCTAAGAGAGACGATTATTTTACTAAGGAAGCATATGAAGAAGCCGAAAGAGGTAAAGATAAAATAAACGTTGACAATAAAAATCCATTCACATGTTTCTGACCTTACGCAATAACTATATCAAGAGTACAAGGATTTCATTGCTTTTGTGGTTGGGGTAATCAACAAGCTCAGGGATTGGCTCTCAAATCTCTTTAGAGTGATATTGGATTTCTTCAAAAGTTTGTGGTCTTGGATCAAGACTGAAGAACGGAACATGGCTGAAAAGTAAACATTTAAAGTATCATAGCTCATTTATTACCGTATTTTCTCCTCCCTTTTATAACCAAAAATTTATTATTTGCTAGTGTCAAAGCCTTTGTGATGACAGTTAACAAAATGATCAAGAACCTTTACAAATTTCTCTTTGAAGAACATTAAACAGCTGTTTTTTTTCTTGAGTTGGATTCAACAGTTGATATTCGAATTTGATTATAGGTTAACTAGAACTTTGATATCATGAATAAATAAAAGTGGAATATCGCTTCTTATCATACAATAGTACAAATATACGTATTCCGAATTTAAAAGAATGTTACATCATGAGAAATCTAGTACATGTGTTGATTGGCTGAAGGTCATAAATGATCAAAATTATACTGAATTTTGGCTAGGATTACAAAAAGTGTATAATTTTAAATATATATCTGGTAAAAAATAAACCGATAAATTGATAAAGCTTGACTTGACCTATTGTTTTTATGGTTTAGTTTGCCAAAATTGTCATTCGTCAGACGATTTGTCATCCGTCACTTACATTTCCAAAGTGGCGAAAGGTTTCGTGAAAATCAATACAGGTAAGCATTTTAACTAGTATTTTATTGGTAGAAGGTTTCGTCGTAGGTTTCGCCATTCGTCAAAGGTTTCGTCATTCGCCATACATTTTCAAAATGGTCGTCAATTGACGTGACGAAATTTTTCGTCATCGTCAAGTATCATTAGTCCCAAATTACTGTATTTATGTCCAAGCGACAACACTGCCTCATAGCCCTTAAAGCCGAGTGTTGTATATGAATACAACTCTACTACATGTGATTTTAGCTATTATTTTGATTGGTCAGATGGTTTCGTCACAGGTTCATCAAGGATATCCTAGCCATGGCGAAAAAAAGTTACAGGTCATGTGATTCCGATCCCTCTGATATATTTTTTAATTGCACACTGTTTGTACCAAGTTGAAAAGACAGAACTCGTTCCGAAGAGTCTTACATGGGATTGGAACACGCCAAAAGTCAACATCTGATGTTGAATAATTGTTGGAAGCCTGCTCGAGAATGCTGATTGTGATAGGTGAGGCAGTGAGCACCTGGAGCACTCGCTCAGAAGCTTCGGAATTGTAAGGTTGACATGGATTAATCAGCTTTCTTTTAACAAGTAATAATATGCTCAGTAATAGTGTGGTGATAATAAGACAATAATTATCAGAGACGAAGACCCTGCAGCGCCAGCATTCACCTGAAGATATTCAAAGCAGTTATTTGTGCTGAAGACATGCGGACTTGTGGCAGATGGAGAAAAATGATAATTGTTGAAATGATGTTCCATTATATGGAAGTGACTCTGAACTTACTCCTCCGAGTTGCACACGTCAGGCAGCCGCAGAGCAGCGAACACATCTTGACGGCTAAGTCCGTAGAGCACAGAGTTCTGGTTCATTCGAGACATTCGTTGTGATATTGAAGCTGGTATGGTCGGTCATCGAGAGCGGCGACATCCGTGATAAATATTTTTCAATCTGTTTGTTGCCAATTCTTCCTTTCACGCAAGCTCAAAACTTTAAGCAATGATAGCTGATTCCGGCAAAGAGTATTCCAAGCATTATAATCATCGGGATCCAGATATTCACTACTAAAGGAATCGTACTCATCGACCAAGAAATAGATCTGAGAACAAATGAGCTTCAGCGTAAGTTAAGGCTTGATCAATTTACAATGAGATGAATTTTATTGTTAGTTACCCCCTTTCACACAAGCGAGCGGGTAATTGCTACTTTCATCATGATTCACGATTCGACTATTCGAACACAGTTTTCAGGACTAGAGATGCTATCATTCGGATCAATTAGTTTCTTGATCAACTTCTTGCTTGTTATGCCTCCTAAATGGGAGGCATAAGTGCTGTAGAATTTTCTGATATCATTATTGATCATATTGATAAGTGCAGATTCTGCAATCTTCTGATCAGAGGAGCGATTAAAATGCAACATAAAATATTGGTTTGGAGTGACTTTGTCTGTCTGGATATCCTTTTCAACGAGAAGGTTCTACAAGAAACAACAGAATGAGTCAACAACGGGTGTGAAATAAAAATATCATCACTATAGACCTGAAAGAGTTCTTGATAATTTTCCTTGTGCTCCACATCGTGAAAGTGAGCTAACATGCTGAGTCAGTGAATCATTATTGAGCTTGAAGAAATCACTTTTATCGTTAAAAGTTGGTCAAGTTTAGCACTAGTGAGGCTTCTCTGTAATCAAGTGGCGTGGTAATGTGACGTTTCTTCAAATATCTTTGCCTTGTGCATTAATCAATGGTGCATTCCTGCTACATTCTTTGATTATTCCTTCCCAATAGGCTTGCAAATCCTTGTTTGAACGTTCAAAGTCTATCTGTTACAGGAATCAAGCTTTTCATTAGCATGATAATAACTCACAACTGTTACTTCTGAGTCCGTTCAATAACTGATTAGAAGCGCTGCCACAACCACTTGGACCAGTAGAGTAACTGATACTTCTGAGTTAGTGGGTAACTGATTAGAAGCACCACCACTTCTGAATCAGTGCAGTAACTGATTAGAAGCGCTTCCACCACCACTTGGACTAGTACAGTAACTGATACTCATGAGTCAGTGCAGTAACTGACCAGTAAGTCCTCTTGTCAAATAAAAATAACGCCACCTTCTCCTAAAAGCTGCAAATCCGTTTGGTTAAGTCCGTTTGCCTCTTTCAAAAATCGCTTAAACCAAATACCGTCGAAATCATTCCACTCATTGGAAGACGGTGACGAATTGACGATAAAATCACGGTGGATATCCAAAAACTCATGGCACGACCAGTTTGTGTGTTCCTTCAAGTGACAAGTTCTGAAAAGGATCGATTAAAGGGCTGAGTGAAAGCTTTGATTGCAAGCTTAACAACTGCCTGTGAAGCCCAGAATAACTAGACTAACAAATGTCGGTCGACTTATCTAATAAATATTTAATACCTACTAGAAAGATTTAGAGGTTTATTCTCTGCTTCACAAATAAAGGTAATAATAAAGATAGAGTTAGAAAAACAAATTCGCGTTTTATTTTTCGTGATCATCTCACACATGACCACGTATAGGGGAATGTATTTAGATTACACAAGTCACCAGGGACTCTAAAAAATCGTAGATTTTTGCATACAAATAAGAAGACATGTTGACAAGAAAGTTGTGCTTCGAAATAAAGTTTATCTGCTAAACGAAAGAATAAGAGTTGTTTTTTCAAAATGTATCCATTTTAAGGAAAATTTTTATGCAAGATAACGATAAATACAATACGTATCCCCTATTTTAGTAGCAGACCAATAAGGCAGTGTAAATTTTTTGTATTCAACCTAATTTAATAAATTTGCGAAAGTCCTTTACGACGGCGCGCCGTATACACAGAATTTGGCTTTTACCAAAGCAAATTAATGAAACGATTTTCGATTATATAAAAATGTTCTATAAGTTTACTAATACACCCTACTGGCCGGATCCGATTTAATTGAATCTTTCTCATCATTGTTAATCTCAGCTTCGGTTTTATATTCACTCAATCGTGCAAAAAGTTTCTTAGCTTGTTCATGAATCGGCCCATCTTTCGGCAAAGTTTTTGATGCAAAAATCTTCTCCAAATATTTTTCACTCTTTTTCAAATCAATTTCTTTACCATATTCACCCTCCATATAAATTTCAGCTAATATACAATCAGCGTCATATCGTCGATTGCTGCTTGCCAATTCCAAATAGTGAAATGCTTTTTTCAGCTGATATGTTCGTTGAAGCAATGCTTTTCCATAATAAGCCTGTGCTTTTAAAATGTATTCATTTATTTCATTTTTTCCTGCTTGTCGTTCTGCATCGGCTGCTTGTTGTATTAATGCAAGACCGCGTTCTTCGTCGCGGAGTTTATCGACTTCGCATAAATATTTCCCGACAAAATATGCACCACGAGGATCTCCTTTTTCAGCATAAGCTTCAAAATATGGTAACGCCTCTTCATACTTTTTCTCGTTATGCATCTTAAATATTTCTTCGAAGCTTGGGAGTGTTGTTAATTCTGTAAATGCAGATTGCGAATTATTTGGACTTTCAGAAAGAGATAATTCAGGTGTAAGAGATCTTTGAGGAGTCGAAGGAGGAATTGTAAGACAATTCTTTGTTTGATAATTTTCTTTAAGCAATTGATAATTTTTAACTAGGTTGGTGGCGATTACATCAATTTTCGGTCTTCTATCTCCTTTATTGTCCCATGCTTCTTTTATGAATACCTCGAATTTTGGTGGAGTGTTGTCTGGGATTAATGGACGTGCTCCTGCAATTATTGCATCTTCTAGTTCTGAACTTGTGATTTCGGAAAATGGACTTTTACCATTTGCAGCCAATTCCCAAAGAGTAATTGCAAAACTAGAAGTATCGGCATGAATACAAAATCGATATAATGAATTCGTTATAACATATTAATACCAGATATTGTCAAAAAAGATACCTATACACATCCATTTGCTTATTAAAAGGAAGCGGTTCGTGTTTTATATTATTTATCTCTTTCTTTTCTTCATCGGAAATTTTTCTCCTTTTACCCGTCTTTTTATTAAAGTCATATTTTATGTTATTGGTCTTTTTCTGTTCTTCGTCATGTTTTCTCCTTTCAACCTCTGATCGAATTTTCTCGGGGGCTTTCCACCTTAATTTGTATTAAACATTAATAAATAAAAGACATATATATATTGCTAACAAAGATAAACTTACTCGAGTCCATCTCTTAATCCAGGAATAGTGGTTGTAGATTGATCTATTAATCTACTGGTACCAAAATTTGAGAGTTTTGCAGTCAGGTGTTCATCCAATAATACGTTTTTACTAAATAGAAATATATAGCAATAGGGATATTTATATTTTAATATTATTAACATTGAGACTAGAATTACCGTAGAGCACTGCATATAGTACCGGATACTATTCAATTTCAAAAATAAGTGTTTTAAATAATACTTCGGGGTACTACATGCAGTGCTGCAATTAATTGACTCCTTACGCTCTAATATTGTGATGGAGCACTTCTACGCCGTGGCAAAAACTATCATTATGATGTGCACGTATTATTGATTCGAGACGAGTAAAATTATAGTTAGCGTTAGAGAAAAATAAAAGTAATACGATCAATAAGAGACGATGAGAAAACAGTATTTACTTTACGGCATTTCCGATTTCTGATGCAATTCTCCACTTGTCAATCCAACGAATGTTTGGCTCCTTTTGCAAATAGTCACAAAGATTACCATTTTCAGCCCATTCGGTGACAATACTTAAATAGTTAGAGTCAACAACGGTGCCATGGCTACGAATTACATTTCGATATAAATTAGCAACATATGTGATTATCGTTATTGTGAAATAATAAACAAAACTCACAATTTTTCGATATTGTTACAATCAGATAACAATTTCCGAATGACTGCTTCTTTGTCTAATTTAGTTTTCAATTCTTTTTCAATCCTAGAATATTCATCTACCGTTCTTCTCACAGCAACTGGTTGGCTACGATACATTTTCTTTACTAACGCTTTGCCTCTGACAACCTTTTCCTTTGACGGATCATTGGCAATTAAATCTGGTTTAATTCTCGTTTTCTCTATATCTGATGGACGAGCATCAAGTCCTTTAACGATATGTGAGATTTCTAGTTTATGCATTTGTGTAGACATTTTTGATATTTCATTATACATTTGTACGCTCACTTCTAAATTGAATGCGTTGGTTGCTTGGGTTAATGTATCCATAAACTGTTTTAGCAATTCTTCATCCTATTACATATAATCAATTTATCGTCTAAGTATTCGTTTAATTAAACCGTAAGAAATAACGCATTAGCAAATAAATATTACCTCTTTAGCGTGTATATATCTCGTTATTTTATTTATAAATTGTCGACTAAAATTACCAGGCTTTCTCAGTTGTTTAATATAGTCTTCTATTTTTTTCAGGATATCAATATACTGCTTGTAAGCGTCTTGAAAGTCGTCATAATTTGGTTTATATTTTTCTAAAGTTGTTTGGCTTATTCGAACTTGCTCAACTAGTGCCTTACAAGTTTCTCGATTATTTTTAAGTTTCCTTGCTTGCTCATCGATTGATTGGGCGATTGTTGCAGCGACTTCTAGACCGGGTATTAATTTCGCGCTGATAATTGTAAGGCCTACAACACTCCGGACATAACTCGCAGAATTATGAGATGGTGAAGAACTCGCCGAATTCTGAGATGGGGAAGACGATGACATAATCGACGTGACGATTTTGAGATAATCTTTTTAAAGTTTATTATTATTATTATTATCGTTATTGTTATGCGTTTTATATATAATACTTGATACAAAGAACTAAAGATTCCATTTAACGTTAAAGTTTCAAAAGTTAAATTTATCGTTATTGGGAATATCGGTATCAACACAATTACTGTTTGTTTTTAGAAATGGAATTAAACAAAGATACCGATACATGTACTACCGCTACCGCAACAGATTTGTACGTATATATACATGTACGATAACGGATACGTAAATCCGGTTATACAGAAATGTCTTCACGATCGCGATAAGCAATACATGTGGTACAATTACGGTGGAAACAAGAAAACTAAAAATGTAAAAAATACGGGAAACAGATGCCAAAATCTAACTTTGATCTCTAATAAAAAATGTCGGGGAAGCAATTTTACATCAATTTTAACCTTTAGTAGTTGCCGGCACCTTATCATATGATATGCAGATTTTAACATGAGACAGAACGCATAATAAAGAAGGCTCTTAGAACTTCTATTGTGTAAATAAAATACATGTATGGTGCAGGCAGCTTAAAGACATCAAAGCTGCGCCACTGCGGATTTTTTTTGAAGGATTATTATTTCCAAATAAGTTATTGTATGCAATGCTAATTAGAATTTTACATGTAATTTTGCATGATGAAATCCAGAATAATTTTATAATAAAAATAAATAAAAAAATAAATATATTAAAGGCTATTTAATAATTATTTGTTTTAATGATTATATATTTAAAATAAAATTCATTTAAAGTTCAAAGTATTTGATGTCTTTAGACTGCTCGCATCATGCTCCTTTTTAATACCGTGCACGACATCTATCGCTATAATCAGCAGCAAAAAATAAATGCAATTTTTAAAGTTTTTCATACAAAGAATTAAGATAATTACGAAGTATTTTTTTATTGTAAATAAAGTTACGAAAACCGTTTGTTAAATGAAGCTGAATCCTTTTTAAAGTTTGTTATTATTATTAATAAAGATAAAAATTTGGCCAGTTTTAAATATAGTCATGTGATAAGAACAGACACTACTGATTGGTTATTACAAGCAATGAATTAAATGAATTACATGTTACTTTACTATTAATAAAAAAGAAGTCAGACTAATTACTATGTATAAGATCTGCAATAAAAATTGGCCACATGGCGCAGTATTTGCTGGTTTCACTTATAAAGTTATCGTTATCGTTATGCTATAAAATCCGCCGAAAAAGATGGCGTTGACGATCATCCTAACTAGTCCCAGTCGAATTTGATCGCCGATGGTAACAATCGCAATGTATTGTTCAACATTAAATTCTATTATCGTTATGCATTTCGTTAATTTCTCAGCCAATTTATAGTACATGTACATATGCATAGCGGCGATAATTGGCGACGCTGCGCTGTGAGAACTGGTATGTAAAAAAATCTTGCTTTAAATGAAATTTAATAAAAAATTTTCCACTTGATATTCTTTTAAGTGAAAGCATGATGCTTTAGTTTTAGTTTCTAATACAAGTACAAACAAGTTTTTCAAAAATAGATTTTGACTTCTCCAAAATGTTGCAATATATCAATATCGATATTAATTCCAAATACGGAGAATTGAATTGGAGCAAGATTTACAGAGTACAGTACTTCCTTATGTTAGCCCAGGTACTAAATGGAAAGCTATACGCCAAAGCCGCAGCTGTTTATAGTTTTGGGATTATGTAACAAGTTAGACATTTACCAAATGATGTTCCCCCCGGATAGCGCATTTATTATTAAAAAAATATTGTGATCCTATTCCTGAAAACAGACCAACTGCTAAGGAACTCTACTCTGTCTACCAAGACGACTATATCAAGGAGGAGTGAGAACCGAATACATGTACTTTGCATTTTCAGTATTACAGTTCTTTAGAATATCATAAACACATTTTCAGTACATCTTTTTAGAACATTTTAAAACATATAAAAAAGAAAGAACTCGAAGAAATCCACTCAAATGCAGTTTAAATACTGAACATGTACATGTATACCAATATCGAATTTCGATGTTAATTAATATTAACATGTCTATGAAACACTTCCAACAAAGTAAACAATACCGAAATTAAAAAGAACATGGTGAATATTTTATACTTTACATAAACTAACGTTAACCTTTATCGGTACGTTTTTAGATGCACGTTGTGGGCGTTCGTCATTTTTCATGCATGAATCGATTTACGACGATTTCACACATACCGATAAATGCGTAAACCGTCGTTTTTTAAATAAACACTTCCATAATCATTAATAAACTCAAAGATGGCATCTAAAACTCATGATTGTAGTAAATGTTGTTGGTGCCGACAGGGTTACTGCAAAGCGTGTTCAGTTCACGATATCCATGATTGTAGTAATAACTGTTACGATTGTCAAGAATATAAATACTGCGATGAGTGTTCAGTTCACAATACTCATGATTGTAGTAAATGTACTGGTTGTAAATATAATATAACCTGCCGGGGATGTTTTAATTATCACAATCAAATTTATGGAGTTAAAAGCGGAGATAAAGATATCGACAGTTTAATAAATAAATGCGACAAAATTGCTGGTAAATATGAATCTTTCGAATGGATCCCTTTCGAAAGATTTACCAATGTTGAATATATTGCAAAAGGAGGTTTCGGATCAATTTATAAAGGAATCTGGCTGGACGGACCATTAAAAAGGTGGGATCATGAAGAAAATAAATTTAAACGATCTGGACAACGCGAAGTTGCGTTCAAATTATCACACAATTCAAAGCAAATTACATCCGAGTTTATAAACGAGGTGAAATGAACACCTTTTTAAAGTGCAAGCATATTGCCGTTTTGTTTTGAAATATAATTAACTTTTTCAAAATTAGATTCAGACGGCTCTAAAGTGCACTTTTGATATTAGTTATCATGGAATAAGATATTATGGAATAACTAAGAACCCGGCTACAGATGAATTCTCGATAGTGATGGATTATGCAAAAGATGGTGATCTACGCAAGTATATAAATTCTAAATGCGAAGAATTGAATTGGAAAGCGAAATTAAGTCATTTAAATGATATTATCGGAGGGTTGGATATAATTCATAAAGAGGAATTTGTGCATCGTGACTTTCACCCTGGAAATGTATTAATGAATATCAATGCTCAAATTGCTGATTTTGGACTTACCAAACCAGCAGATGTAGAAAAATCTGATCAAAACATTTATGGAGTACTTCCTTATATGAGTCCAGAGATACTAAATGGAAAGCCATATACTAAAGCTGCAGATATTTATAGTTTTGGGATGATTACGTTCGAGGTTGCCACAGGTGAACGACCATTCGGGGATCGGAGTCATGATCAATATCTTGTGTATGACATCTATAATGGAGTACGACCCACGATACCAAATAATGTCCCCGGATGGTGCAAATTTATTATTGAAAAATGTTGGGATCCTATTCCAGAAAACAGACCAACTGTTAAGGAACTTTACTACTTTATTTACTCAATCGACTCTATCGACCTTCGTGATGAGGAGTGGAAACCGAACAAATTGCATCTTGAATACTACGGCTCTTCAGAATCTCCTATGACACACGAAGAAATCATTGAGTGTCTTAAGCTGGAAAAGCAGAAATTAGATGAACTTGACGAGAAGATGAAAGGCGTTCCTACGAATATGAACAAAAAACAAGAAATTCACTCCAATGCAATTTACACCAGTCGAATCTTTACCACAAAATTAATTCCAATTCCAACTGACACGGGTACTTTTTATTTTAAATATAAATCACATTGACGTCTCATATTAATTAAAATTAGTTTATTTATTTAGGCACTACGACGAGTGTCAGTTTGTATGTTCCAAACGAAGGTACAATCGCTTGTTATATTACTTCTATTAAAATATATTAAAATATTTATTTGCATACAATTCTATAATATCTAGAATATGTGACTACTGAATACGATATAGATGTTAATGCCAAATCTACAAGTGTCAGTTTGCATCTTCAAAACGAAACAAATGAAGACTTTGTTTCACGAGAGTTTGATATCGATATTGATGTTGAGAATGATGGAAAAGATGCTTACGGAGTCTCAACATTTAAATATTGTATACTATTTTAATTTTTTAGATTTCAAAGAACATAAACATATCGATATGTGTCAATAATAAAATAGCGAGATTGTTGATTATCGTTATCGTTATGGAATTACCGTTACTGTTCAGAACATAATACATGTACTCGTGTTAAAAAAGTACTGATTTGCATGTGTCTATCACTATTATCAAACGAATTTATCAAGCTCGAAAATAAAAATGTCGACGATTTAATAAAAGAATGCGCTAAAATTGGAAATAATTTCGATTTATAAAGCAACATGGATCACAGAAAAATAAAATTTAAACGGTGTGGGAAATGCGAAAACAGAATAGGACGGTTTGCCAAATGTGTTATATGCAAACCTTTTGAAAACATAACGTAAACCTTGAGATAAACTAACGCGTTTACACAATAGCTTTCCGATGTTTTCAACATGTTCACCAACATAATGTTTCCAAACCGTTTATTGATATTTGCCCAGATGTTTAAAAGTTATAAAACTTGAGATAAACTAAAGCATCTGACTTTAAGTTTACATATACAATGTTTGAGTGGATAAATATAGTTTTCCAAACGTTTTTATCAAGTTTAATAATATAAAGATTGCAAATTCTAGGTTTAAGAAAAATTTACCAATGTTAAATATCTTGGAACAGGTTATAAAGCATCGCTGTTCTATTATTGAAATCATTACGTGATTCGAAGCAAATTATAAACGAGGTAAAAATAGATTCGGACTTTGGAATAAGTTATTATAGAATAACTAAAAATCCAGCTAAGAATGAATGCGTGATAAATTTCAAGTTATATTGTCAGTGGTCTGAGCAAAAAAAGTGACTTTTACCCTGCAAATATATTATTAACGTTAAATATTGATGCTTTCTTTGCCGATTTTGGACTTACCGGTCCAGCAGATATAGAAAAATCTAATCAATAATTTGCGGAGTACTTCCATGTTTGGGATGATTACGTACCATTTTGTGGTAGAGTTATGATATTAAACATCTATAACAGAGTACGACCTAAGATACCAAATAATGTTCCCGGATATGCGACAAAGTTGAAGACTTTGCATTTACAACACTACAGCTCTTTAGAATAAAATTATATCGAATATTTAGGCTCTACGTTTGTATACTCTAAACAATTTTGATGTCAGCATACCACATGAAGAGATGTCGATAACTACATTTTGATTAAATCAAATTCCGTTTTGTATGAACTCAAAACATTAAATCAATATCAACTATGTTTCGAGTTAAAGCACAACGATCAAAAGCGGTTTCTATTATTTTTATTTTATTACGTAAAAATTATTATCTCCAAACTTTAGAATATGCAGGATTTTACAATAGCTGCCAAAAGTTCTTAGCCAAATCAGTTCGTTGGCTATTGTGATACAAGCTCCCGAATAATTCCAATGCAGTAAATTAATTCAACCATTTTTTTACATACCGATACATGTAATATTAATATCGACACTTGGAAACTTGTAATCACAGTAGCCAACGCACCGATTTGGCTCTTGCATGTAGTTTTCATAGAGAAAATTTTTATCAGTCGGGAAAGAAAAATATTTAATGTCAAAAATATATATCTATCATTTTTCTCAATACATGTATTATTTTCAAATTCTCTATTACATACATTCTAGTACACGTATTACTTTTCTTTATCACGTACGTTTGCTATGTTTATTAATACATGTACAGTAACACATTGGACTAGAACCCAGTTACATGTATTTTTTATTATACCAATACTTTTATACACGTTTGTGTGTAAAAAACAGTTTAACACAAGGTTAATGTAATAAATAGCTCTTGCTCTTTATTGGAATCATTACAAAATTCAAAGCAAATTACATCTGAGTTGATAAAATGAACAGGATTATGCAAAAGACGAAAATATCGCTTCTAACTACATGTAAATGGGGTGGAGTCAGTAAAACCAAACCAAATCTGTATAGTCATACCTTCTCTAAAGGCACACTCTTTTATAGTACCATTTCCAAGAGTATGCATTCAGTGAAGTATAACTGTATATTTCTTGGAGCTGATATTATAAAATTCATCAAAATAGTGTGACTTTAGAAAGGGTAGACCATACGGATTTGGTCTGTTTTTACTGACTCCACCCTAATGATTCGGGCTAAATTATTAAGCCCAAGCCCAAATTGTTTTATTTTTAATTTTTTTTGCACAATATGCAAGTCCTAAAGTTCCCCAAACTATCTGATATTTCGCTCAAGGTCTAGATATTAAGCTATATTACACCAGACAATTAAGCCTTAATTTCTTAATTGTCCTAAACTATTTAGCCTGAATCATTACTCCACCCCCACATGTACGAAGAATTAAATTGTGAACAAAATTATGTTATTTAATATCGATCATAGAAACGGTTCACAATGAGGATTTGTGCATCGTGACTTTCGCCCTTAAATAACTTTGTACTTACCAAATCACAGAGGTACTAAATTGAAAGCCATAGACTAAAACTGTAGATATTTATAGGTTTTTATGATTATGTACAAGGTTGTCACATGTGAACGAAGTCATTTGTCCGGAGCGAAGCGAAAGACACTATTTCTATTATTCTATTATTTGATCGACATAATCACGTGCGAACTCTGTCTGTCGGTTTTCATACTCCTGATTGGTTGAACACAAAAAATTCTAGCTCTGGACATATAAATGGTATCCATTTCCTAGTGATATTCACTTTATAATGGATATCGAATAATGTTCCCGGATGCTGCAAATTTATTATTAAAAAATGTTGGGATCCTATTCCAGAAAACAGACCAACTGTTAAGGAACTTGAAGTCTTAATAGAACCTATCCATATATATATATATACTTGCCAGCAGGTGATAATGAACCGAATATTTTGCATTTTCAATACTACATGCATTGTCATCATTGTAGGCGTAACGGTAATGTGCTTCTGTGTCATTTTTCATGCATAAATCGGTTTACGATTAAATGGCAAAAAATAGAACTATATAGATGCATATCGACTAGTCACTTGTTTCATGAGTTGACTAAAGAGAATTTGGATACCTCTATGAGTTTCCAAGTTTTAAATTTAAAAAAAGAAACAAGTAAATGTGAATTTTCTCATTTGTCAATTGCCTTTTTCTCTATTGATATATGTAAAGTTCCTTTGTGCGGACTTTATTACAGAGGAGATGATCCAATGCGAAGGCTAAAAAATTATACTGTCGGATACTGTAACAGTTGCTTAACGCCAAAAATATTAACACACGGCGTGCACACTATATACCGATTTTTCCATATAGAACTCGGTGAGCGTGCGCGAATTGATTACGTAGTTAAATATGCGTATGTGCATGTACATGTAGAGAGAGGGTTGAACATTAAATCAATACAATGTGTGATTTTGGACTCTATGCATTTTTGATAGAATACGTTATTATTATCTCTTTATGAAAAAAAGAATAAATCTATTGTATAATATTAATTGAAGCAATAACACCAGACTAGACTTATGGATATATAAACCACTGCAATTTTGCTTTCTTGTTTTTTTCAAGCGTTGTCGTCGTCATCATCACTTGAACAGCGACAACAAAGATCATCACATGAACAATGACAACCAGCGTCGTCATCACCACCATTACTCGAACACCAGAAGAAGACCGTTAACATACGTGCTTGGGTATTTAGTTCACAGTACACTTTTCACTCTAATTTTATTACAAGATTGCTATCAAGTATTCTGTATATATCAAGAAATATTAACGATTATTTTTGGAAATTAGTTCGATATTCCAATTATTATTATTATATGAAATTCATCAAGAAATTTTCAAGAATCAAGACAGAAGATCTTTATTCAATTGTCTATTAGTCAATCGATAATTATGCCAAGAAATTGTGCCAATTCTTTGGGAAGCTCCTCTACTCTAATTTATTGGAATAGAACGATCAATTAGGGCTCGTGGGTACGTATATCATCGGAAAGACAAACGCCTTTCAGATCCAGCAAGAAGTGAAAAAAATACAGTTAGTGATTCGGGCTAATTAGTTTAGGGCAATTAAGGGATTTGGGACGAAAAAGGCTTAATTGTCTGGCGTAATATAACTTAATATCCAAACCTTGGGCGAATATCAAATAGTTTAAGCACTTAGGAATTGCATATTATGCAAAAAAACAAAAATTTAGCTATGGTTACAAATTATCGCTTCACTAACGATGCGTTTAAACCGCATGGGATATCTGTTTCCCTCACAACAATCCGGCGACACCTTGGATTTACAGCGCGTAATATGCAAAACGACAAGTTATATTATTATAATATTTTATTAATATAATATCTTTTATTTAAGAGACTAAGTCGGATAAATCTTCGCCATATCTACTTTAACATGATCATAATTATAACTTTCTTGGCTTTTTTTTAATTTGCATTGTTTTTCTATAATTTGTATTGTTATTTTTTATAATAATTATTGATATAGTGTCTTTTTTCGCGAATCTAAGCGCTGGGTGAATCTGGCCGGCACTATCGCTTTTGAAGAGAAGCACTGAACGAGCCTGGCCGGAAATCTCAGTTAGACGGAACAATTTAATTATAGAGCCCATCAGTTAACGAGATTAATGCTGGCTTTAAACTTTAATTTTTTCTTCATTACTCAGTGCTATCAAATGATCAATAATAATGTAATTTAATAATAAATATAAAAATTTCTGAACTAACTTTTGTTGTAACATAACAAAAACTGTAATTGCATTTTTATTCACACGAACTTCTAAGAATAAAGTGTTCTCACACACGTTTATCAAATATAATGACGCGAAAATTTAAATTACATGTATAATAATCGAATATTATTTTGGAAATAATCATCAGATAATAACGTTAAATTTGTGGCTGTACAATTGTTAAATAGGTCATGAATTATTCAAAAAATCTCATGACATCTTGTTCTAACTCGAAAACCATAAAAACGAATTGTTCACATGAATAAATTCTTTAAATTGCCACAAATCACCAATCAATGTATTGCTTTATCGATTACGAAATCTAACAATTCTTATCGTTAAAGTTGGGAAACTTAAAATTTGCGAGTTATTTAATCAGAAAACTTCATTATTCGATTCTCATGTCCTTTGTATAAAGAAAATAACAATGAAGTAAACAATTTGTAAGACAATAACAATGAAGTGGACAATTTGTAAAAGTAGAAAAAACCTTATAATACTTTTATTATAACTGAACGGAATTGAATTTAAACCGGTGAAAAAGCGTTTAATGAAAAATTTGTCCTGAAGTTCATTAAATACTGTAATTTCAGAAAAAATCATCGAACTTGTAAAATGGAGACGACCAATTGTGACAAAGGTAATTTTATAGACAAACTTTTACTCTACGCATTGTATAATTCTTTATAGAGCGATTCTGATGATTGGTTAATTTAAATCTTTAGAAGAAAATGACAAAAATTGTCACCAAAATACGATAGGTAAATATTTGCATACTATTTGATGTAGTTTGTCAATTGAACAAAGCTACATTTTAGCCTAACAATAACTTCTATTGATATAGAAGAAAATGATAAAGCGAAAAAATTCGACAGTTTGCGTGAAACAAAGCAAAATCTTCAACAAAGCTTAGATCAACTTAAAAGCATATATCACTATATGAATTATTACCAAGCTAAGCAAACATATGAAATTAAAACTCAAGATTATACCAAACTCCACGCAGTTTATAATGAACTTACAAAAAATCACGATCAATTGATTGAAGAACACGAAGAGCTTAAAATCAACGTGAGAAGACTCGCCATAGAATTACAGAACAAGGAAGAAATATGGGAACAAAACAACAAAAACAATCAGGAAATAATCAATAATCTGAATGAGAAGGTTGGATTTCTGAGTCAAGAGGTTGAATCGTTTAAATCGGAAGCAACTCAATATCAATCCGCTTTCGGGGATGTAATTAATGTAATGAATGTTCGTTGGGACAATGAAAATCCGAATAATCCTGTTAACCTTGCAAAAGATATTTTTAAACTTCAAGAAGTGTTGTACGGTCTCACTTTTCTCAAGGGAAAAGCGTATGTTATCGACGAACATGAGATCCAATTATTATTTAATAGATTGAAAACTCAAACTAGCATAAAACATAAACCTTCAGTCAGTGCAGCCTTGCAACGTTTAACGATCAAAAAAATCATAAACGAATACGATGAATATTTTAATAGAAGGCGTTTTCCATATAATTCCCCCAATAACGAAACTCTCGAAAGAAGGCTTGTTATGTGTGTAAATCAATTAACTGATGTGGTTAAGGAATTTAACAGCATTCGAGAAGCAAATGATATCACTGACATCAAAATCCGTCAAGAAATCTACGCTATGTTGGGGAATAGAGGTTTCGGAGATAAAGGACATCCATTTCTAAATGATTCAAAAAAGGCACTCCTTAAAATGTGGGAAAAGTTTCGATTAATCCCCAATAGTACCATATCTAAAGAGCAAGAAGATCGTGTAGAAGAAATTATACTTGGTGTTATCCGTATTTTCAATTTTCGTCTTTTAACTCAAGAGCCAATCGCTACTTTTCGGTGGTTCGAGAATGGAGATCCATTGGATGAAACTTTGATGGAATGGGTTTCAACAGGTGAGGATGAAACGAAAATGGTTGTCGATATTTGCGCATTTCCAGCAATCGGAATTTACCTCGTTGATCCTACAAAATGCCAAGTTTACACCAAAGCAAAAGTACAAATATGCAACATTCCAAACGTCCCCCAAGAAAGACAGTTGATCCCTATAAAAAGAGTTTTGAGTTTTAAACAATTGTACAACAATTTCAAATAAATACATGTAAATGTTAAACAAAATTCAGTTAATAACAAAATGATAATTAATGCTCCTTATCATTGCGTTTGTAACGAAGAGTCGGTATATAGACCTGGGAACAGGCGCACCAAGGAATTTTGTTCATCACGACGCTGTTCCAAACTACTGATAGCTTTACTCGAAAATGGAAATGTGCTGTATGCAGTCGAAAAATGTTCACTATAACGGTGCTGCATATAAAGGCGTAAAACTTTGAACGCAGAGTTTTTAAATTCTTCGCTAACTTTACATCCAAAATCTGTAGAAATAAATTTAACGTTAAGTCGTCATTAAATACTGCAATTAAGATTGGAGATGGGTGCAAGTGATGCGCTTTGAGACCTCACTCGAAAACACAATAGCACCAATTATTGAGACAGATCATTCTCCAACAAACAAGAGGTTCACACAACCTGGAGAACTACCCAATTCCAGTGAATCTTTTAACAGAAACACGTTCCAAGAATTTTTTCTTTGTAAATCAAAGGCAATATTTGGGACTAGTTGCTCAACAAACTTAATTAAACAGGTCTCAGTGGATATCGATGATACCAAATTTTATTGAAGACGAAACATTGATCAGAAAAAATTGAAGACTTTATGATTTTGAAGATGACTACGACCTTTATCTGATACACCTTAGTTTCCCATCCTTTCAAAGTTTTAAATAAACATCTACGTTCATATATACGTAGATAAAATCTTTTTTTTAATCAAAGTGAATTCAAAGATAGAATCTAATATGGTTCGACAATAAATGCTCATATTATCGCAGGCAGATTTATGAAGTTAAATGGTCTAGCAAGGATAAAGATCCCTTTGAAAGATTCACTAATGTTGAATATCTTGCAAAAAGATATTTTTGATCAATATATAAATCATTTTGATACTATGACATGAGGCAATAAATTCAAACGACTTAAAGAACACCAAATTCATTATATAAATTACACTGGAGTTTATAAATGAAAAAAACCAACAGCTTCTAAAGTGTAAGCATGGAATAGCAATTTGTATTTCCCGGATACTAGCGCCTGTGATAAAAAAGATCACATTCGAGATAGATCACATTAGCGATAGATATTAGATATTAATAAGCGAAATGTATCATTATATAATAAAAAAGATGAATTTAATACAACTTTTGCTTGCTCTTTAAAAAACTAAAATGGAATCAAACGATACTGTACAATTTAATACTGCTCGTGAGCTTCTAAATAACTCACATTTACAGTTTAAAACATCTAAAAGCATTGAAATTGAGAAAGAAATTCGTTTTATCAAGACAAGTCACGTGTTCATACATAGAAAAGGTAACGGAAAACTGGCTTGAACATTTTGAGCAATTTCGAAAAATATGATTATCTGCAAGATGAGCAATACAAGACTCAATTGCATCTTATTTCAGATGTTTCTGTATTAGATAATCAAGTGGCAGTTTTTAGCTACATTTACGTATGAAAAAAAGGTGGAACCGAATATTAAGTATTATCAATAAAACAAGCTGTTGATGGAATGAATCTATATCTAATGGAATTTTTGACTATTCGTGGAATAAATTTACGTGACCGTCATCAGTTTCCCATCTAGCAAAAGTACTTGATGGTAAAATAAAATGCTGCAAGATAAAAGGCTCGGAGAGGTAAAAGAATCTGCAGCTTTATCTCGACAAAATATCTGTGATGTTTTGTTAAATCCGGCAACGTTAATATCAACTACAGATACTCTTATTTTTCACAATGCAATAATTATTATGATCATAAATACCTATAATAATTTAATAGTTCATTATAATGCATTTCACTATACGTATTTCGAATTATATTTATAGTACTGTTTAATATATTAAGAATTTTGAAATAAAGCTTTTTATTATAGTAGAATTTTAAATACGATACCCCTATTATAACTCATACATGTATTTGAATTATGTAATGATGAATAAATAAATCGAGAACTCAGTGGTACGAGTTTAGGATGATATATTCCGGTATTATGTAATAGAGATATTTTACCAAAAAAATTGACTCCGATAATAAATCCGGTTAAATATCAATATCGATATGCAGCATCATAGGCGACAAATTATGGTGCATAAAATCTAAAGTCATCAAATGTTTGTATTTTGTAAATGTATAAACTTCTTTACTAAGAAGTAAATACAAAATTTAATCTGTGAATATGCTCAGAAAAGACCTATTCTATTATATTCACGGATTAAATTTTGTGTTTATTCCTTAGTAAATAAGTTTATACATTTTATAAAATACAAACGTTTGATGACTTTAGATTTGATGCACCATAGTAAACCGCTCAGCTTTCGATATGATCGGAGGTCACAGTTGCGCTGTGACCCCCGATGGTATCGGAAGCTGAGCGGTAAATAACTATGTCATATTTCTTAATCTCAAATTCACAAACCATATCTTTATAATCAAGATAACGAATCAATAAACAAAAAAAATACAAAATTTATTATAAGAATTAGCTATAGTATCTTTCAAAATAATATAATTAAAAAGTATAATCCTGAAATTAATTTATGAAAGCTAATCAAGCTAAAAGTCATGTTAGTTTATTTTGAAAACTGAATCATTTTAAATTTAATTCAATAATAAATTCAATTTAATAAAAAGAATGTAAAATTAATTTAGTAAAATAGTTAAATAAAACAAAAATTCAAATTTATAATAAACCTTGAAATAATTATATTATGACAGAAAGATGGAGATTATTTTATATTTTATTCAAAATTAATAGCTAAAAAAATTTGCAATAACAGGATTAGTATATTTATAGAAATTCAGAGTAAAGAGCATTTTTTTGGACTTGAGATTAAAATTCAAAATTCGATATGTATTGGTAGGATCGAGAATATTAATTACCGTTACGTACTGTGTTTTCATAATGATAACGTTATAAATTTTGTCAATCGTCCTGGGTTTCAATCGTTATGGTTTCGTTTGACGAATGACGTGACAAAACGTTTCCTTTCATGAAAATAGTTTCATTAGCCGGATCATCACTTAACAAGAATAAAAATTTTAAACGAACCATTCCTTTTAATAGAGAGCGGCATTATTAGTTATTTTGTTGAAAGTGTTTAATCATTAATCTGTAATTTTTCTTTTAAGGTATTCGATATATCCTGATTTCGTATGGTATACTAAAATCGAAATCGCTTGAAACATATAAACTGACACTTGTCAACCCTAAAAATTCGATATGAATTTCATTAATATGCGATCACAACATTTAGAAATAAATATAAGTACCTGTGTTAGTTGGAATTGAAATTTCTTTAGTAAAGACTTGACTAGTGTAAACGGCATTTGGATGTATTTAATTTCTTCATGTGTTTTAGGAGATTCTAAAGAGCCATAGTACTGAAGATGCAAAGTATTCGGTTTCCATTCCGCATCGATATGGTTGATAGAATCGATAAAATCTCAGCAGCTGTCTGTTTTCAGGAATAGATCCCACCATTTTCAATAATAAATTGTATAATCGAGGAACAGTATTTTGTAGGTCGTACTCCGTTATGGATGTCTAACACGAGATCATTATCATGACTCCGCTCACCGAATGGTCGTTCACCTGTGACAACCTCGTACATAATCATCCCAAAACTATAAATATCTGCAACTTTAGTGTATAGCTTTCCATTTAGTATCTCTGGACTCATATAAGGAAGTACTCCATAAATCACTCGCTCAGATTTTTTCATATCTGCTGGGCCAAAAAGTCTAAAATCAGCAATAATAGCCCTATACCATATCGATATTGATATATTTCCGGGGTGAAAGTCACGATGCACTAATCACTTTTCGTGAATTGTTTTTAGATTTATAATGGTATCAATTAAATGTCTTAATTTCGTTTCCCAATTCAATCCTTCGTAGTTGGCATTCATATATCTGCGTAGCTTGCCATCTTTTGCATAAGTCATATTCACTTGTAGCTGGGCTTTTAGTTATTCCATAATAACTAATACCTCCAATAATGAACTTTAGTGCAGTCTGAATCTAATTTTGCAAAAGTGACTTACATTAAATAACAAAAAAGCAATCATGCTTACTCTTTAAAAGGTGTTCATTTTACCTCGTTTATAAACTCAGATGTAATTTGTTTTGAATTATGTAATGATTTCAACACAACTTTAGATGCTCCCCTTCGTTTAAATTTATTTTCTTTATGATCCCAATTTTGCAATGGTCCGTCCAACCAGGTTGCTTTATAAATTGTTCCAAAACCTCCTTTTGTAAGATATTCAACATTGGTAAATCTTTCAGAAGAGATCCATTCAAAAGAGATCCATTCCATAGATTTATTCTCACCAGCAATTTCTACACATTCTTTTATTAGACTGTCGATATCCATATTTCCGCTGCTAGACCATTCATAAATTTGTTTGTGATATATAAAACATCCTCTGCAATGCCAATTGTTTTGACACTCGTAGCATTATCTACAATTATGAATATTATGAACTGAACACTCATCACAGTAATTCAGTTCTCGGCAATAAACACATTTAATACAATCATGAGTATTGTAAACTGAAATTTGGGATGCCATCTTTGTTAGTGATTATGACAGTGTTTTATTTAAAAAACGATGGCACTTCCGTTTGTGTTTGTAAATCGATTTATGCATGAAAAATGACACATAGGAACATAACAAGTATTAACGTTAAACTATGAGATAAAAGAAGACTTCTAGTGTTGTGTGTAAATGTTGTAACGGTAATATGTTTCATTTAAAATCACTAGACCATTTTGTAAAGTAAATTTAAATATGGAATCTAACATTTTGAGTACGTATGCATAATTGTAGTGAATGTAATTATTGTCAATATGCCCATAATTGTAAATGTACTGTCATGAATATTTTATTTTTCACCTTCAACTACTTGAATAAAGATATCAACAGTTTAACAAAGATCCCTTTTTGATAATCCATTGTTGCATAATTACATT